ACCCAAACTTAAACCCAAACCCAACCCCAACCCCAACCTTGATTAACAAATGGCTAGCCATAAAGATATATAATTTAATATTTAAGTTAATTACTCACAATCAAAAAATAAATTTTGTGCGGAAGATTTTTTTAGCTTATACTTTATTATGGAAGTATTCTAGAACGAACCCTTTGATTAAATTACTTTAACAGATCTGATGCTAGAAATTTTAACATAAGTTCCTAATTACTCAAGAACTCCAAGATATCATGCTTACTAATTTAATTAATTTTTTTGGCTAATAAAAATAAAAAATTCAACCCTTAGTAACAGACACTGATAAATAACAAATAAATCTTTATTTTCCTGTAGTTTTTGTATTTATTCTACAGGTGGCAGAATATTTATATTAGTGTTAAAGAAAGAAATATTTATTGAGAAAAGTCTTGGTTTCGAAATAAGAAAACGATTGTATAAAATTCACTTAATAAAATGTTTAAATGAAATATAGTATTTTATTATCATTATTTTGTCGAAATTTAATCCTAAAAAAAATGATTAAAATTATTATAAAAATAATACACTAATTTAGCAGCAATTATTTCAAGTAAAATTTATCCACCTAATCTTGATTCCAAGACCTTTTATCTAACTTAATTCAGTTTGTATTTGAACTAAAATTAGTTTAGTCATACTCCCCAGATAATCATTTGAGCAGCTTAATGAAGAATCCTTGTAAAGATATGATAATTTTTAACAGTTGATCAATATGATAAATTGTTTTAGAAGAGTAAAACAGAGAATAATCTTAAAAAGAACAAGTATATTACATTAGAAAAAAAAATATCTATTAATTGTAGAGAAATAGGTGAAAAATTTTGCAAAACCATAGTATCTTAAGGACTTTTAAGATTGGGAGTATTGCAATCTAAATAAGTAGTTAAAAAAGAAATAAGTGTCTTGATCAGTTAAGGAGATATAGCTTTATAAACTCTAAAGTTTGGATTAAAATTCTGATAAAGAGAAATCTTATATTAGTATTAAATTGTTTAGACTCTTTCTAGAATTAGTTGTTCAAGTTGCTTTAAGCTAAGTAAAAAAGAACAATTTGAAATAGGGTTGGGTTATAAGTTGAAATAGAATCAGTCATTTTATAATGTATAGATTCAGCAAAAGAATTCAATTATGGATCAAGTAATTATGATAGCTTTTCTGGAATAATCTCTTAAAACCAAAAATTACGTAAGAAGTGACCGAATTTATACATAGATTTTTGAATGCGAAAACCTTGAAGAGGATTAAAAGTCAACCCATAAACTAGAGGATGAAAAAGTAGTAAATAGAGTCAGAGTTTCAAATTGATTATTTCCTGTTTGTATCCTACTCTGCAGAACCACAAGATCTAGTCGTAGATGACTTTGAATACACTGAACAGTATTAATTTAGTATTGTAAAATGAGAGATCCTAAATGAAAAAATAAATTTATTTTATTGAAAACGAAGAAATTAGTAATCACTAATATATCCCCCTTTGCTAATTGAGCATGCTCAACAAATACTTAGTCAATGTGTCCTTAATATAAAGCAGGAAGTACAAAAAATGTTTTTAAAAGATCCCAATAGGTTGTTTTTTAAAGAGATTGCTCAAAAAAGGAAACAAGATATAATACATGGATAGATTAT